GATATATCTTGTTGTTCTAGCGCCAAACTATCGCTAATCTAGCCCCACAAGGGTGATTCACTTGCCCAACCTCGGGCCCCGCCTCATACCAAAGAGTAAAAAACATGCTCCAAAGATGATTGTGGCCACCTTATATAAATTCTTAACCGCTCTTTTAGGCAACCTCCCATGTGGATTTTAGGGTAGAAGGCTTCTGAATCTGCATGCAAGGGAGTGGTCATCAATCCAGGTCAAAGGGGCGAAGGAGATCAGGAGCAGTTGATAGGGCTTCGGGCTGAGCTCTAGGAAGCCAGGAGCAGAAACAGCTGGCCGCGATCTAAACCTCAGACCCACAAACCTAAACCGAAAACAGCGGTACTATGCGCCTAGGTTTCCGACTTCCTGCCTTGTGGCAGATCTCCATGCCTGGCAGAGGCTTTCCTTTCAAGGTTCCTCTTACGGGTTCGTTAACCGTTCCTAGGGTACGAACCTAAAGCTCAAGCTTAAACGGGCCTCGTAGGGCCTATCCCTCAAGCTTAAACTCCAGATGCTTCGGGTCTTGTCTGAGGTTTTGGACACTTGCAAACTCGCAGAAGCGAAAAGCGGCTGTGACCCAGCCCATGGGACCACGGGAGTTTCTTCACAAACAATTGGGCCCTTTCAGACAACTTAAGACCTATGGGCTTCTGTAGAACATACTGTGCGACTGATGCCAGTGCAGTAGCATACTTCAGAGCAACCCGGAATGTCGAGTTCCGGGCAGAAGAGGCACAGCCAACATGTCTTTTGCTTGACGAGGCCAGTCACACTCCCCAAGAACCGTCGTCCCGCAGCGAAGGTGCCATTGCGCATCACCGGTGAGCTTATGATTATATCCACGACCAGATGGCCCAAATACCTCAAGCCCAAAGTCTATGCCTAAACTCAGACTCAACCGCGAAGTCGCATCCAAACTGAGCAGGGCCTTGGGTATGAAGTTGAGCCATCAGCCATCAGCTTGGCAGCGCAGTTGCCGCAAGCGTGTCCGCGGCTGAAGGCAGGATGGAGGGTTTATGGGATGAGTTGGAGTCGGTTGTTGGTTGCTTGATTACACATATTGCGCCGGCTCGCTACTCAAAGTCTGCTGTCTTCTCATGAAAGCCATGAGCCTTGCATCAATGTCGAAGCCTCCCGATACCATGAAGTCCCCTTCAAGCAGTGCCAAATGTTCAAGCAAGCACATTCAACACCGAGATCGTCTGCAGCCCGACACGAAATCTCAGATTTTATCTTTCCCTGAGCTTTCCGAGCCAATGTCCACCGACAGGTATCTCACGACGACGACGACGACGACGA